AGATCAGTGATGCAGTGAAAGTGTGTTTTGTGTTTGAGTGTTACAGTGACATGAAAAGCTTGTGGTTTGTGATTATAATTATTTAATAAGTGACGTACCAGAAGGAAAGTGCTCCAGAGGTCGAGGAACTTAAAGCGGCCGGTCAGAATGAGATTCCAGTAGGCCACGGCCATCTCCAGATCTGAGACAGAGCAAGACACCGTGAGACACTGGCGCAGGGTTCGTGAAGGTCAGTTTAAGACTTCTTTCAAGAAAATTTAAGGAATAAACTGAATGGAACACAATGTGTCAATATGGCTGAATTAGCAACTTTTACAGAATCTTCTGATCACACTGCAGAAAGTGCTGCTCTTCCTCTCGTTTTCCAGTGAAACTGTCTAAAGATTCTAACATCAAGATACATTTACTGGAGAAACACAATGACAGAAGATAAGTCGTCTTGTTTTATGAGAAAATTATCAAAATGAGTTCAAAATGGCTCAGAAAAATCAACTTAATTCAAAATGAACCCTAGTGAAAAATAAATATACTTAAATGTATTTGAAATACGATTATTTCATGCTAAGCATACTACAAATACATTTTCATATTTATGTACTTAATAAAATGTCTTGCAATTGTACTTTTAGTATACTAAACTGGTAGCTATACTTAAAGGAACAACTAATTTTGCACTTAATGCACTTTAATTGTGCTGAAGTCCAATTAAAGATATGCTTAGTGTATTTGATTGTGCTAAAGTGGAACAATTGCAAGTATTCTTCAGGTACACTTTAAATAGTTTGCATTTAAAGACCGATATTATTCAAAGATCCTACAATCCTCATCAAAAGTGACATTAAAACACATTTTAGTCTTAATATTAAGAAATGTGCATTGTGCACAAGGAGTACGTCAAATAAAGTTTAATTATAATTTTTATATCAGTAAGTCTCGAGTTATCTGTCAGTAAATATGTTAATAGATTTGAACTATACTTAAATGTATTTTAAATATATTACTTTTTTACTAGGGAAAGCAAGTTTTCATTCCCCGTTGATAGATATTTTTTCTTGTTTTCACTTCATTTTGTTCAGTTTCTCATAAAACAAGACGACTTATCTTCTGTCATTGTGTTTCTCCAGTAAATGTATCTGAGTTAAGGATGTTAAAGCAATAATCCCCGTGAAGCCGTGGTTTACAGTGAATTTATAACAGCTAAGGGGCGTTGTTAGGTAAATTCACTGTAAACCACGGCTTCACGGGGATTATTGCTTTTATAAAACGGTTATTCCATATACGTAGTAAGGTTTCACAAAATAAAACAGAGCAAATAAAGTGTAATGATATTAATAAAAACAGTATTCTTCCACCAAACAATGTAGCTCCTCTGAAACAGTTGTGGTTGCAACAAAGTGGTTGCCGAGCAACACACAAACGTAAACAAAGGTGTATGTTACTTTGTAGAGTCATTTACAACAGCTTCGAACGCGGCTCAGCCAATCAGAATCAAGCACCGGAACTATCCGCTTTATAATTATATGTTTGCACTTGAAAACAAGACCAAAAATCAGGTTCACTGCAAACTAACTATGTATGACCACACCGAGCCGCACTACAGCACGATCCCTGTGTAGGGAACAGCAGAGCTGATGTTCACTAGACTAATCGCTCACCTAAACCCTTCTGTCCGGGACTTTTGGCAAAGCTAAACGTGAACTGATAGAAGTCTCTGAATTTCCCAGAATCCTTCAGCTCCTGCTCTAGTCTGGGTAAAAGACTCCTCAGCTCCTCTGGACTGTCACACCTACACAAACCAACACATGCAAAACACACAGGGATCAAATACTCTATCTGCATGGAAATAATATCAGACTGCCTTAAAACAGGCTTCGTCATGAGATCTCATTTCTTTTTATTTTATTATTTCTCTTTGCTGTCTTGTGTAGAGCTGCTTTATAGCTAAAATTGAATTTCAGTTTCATAATTGATTAACTGTTACTTTCCTGTTTATTACTGTGAAGCAGCTTTGAAACAATGTGTACTCTACTGTGCTTTATATATATAGTGTCACATGATCTTCAGAAATCATTCTAATATGCTGATTTGCTGCTCAAGAAACATTTCTGATTATTATCAATGTTGAAAACAGTCGTGCTGCACAATATTTTTGTGGAAATTATTAATGTAATTATTCATTAATGCTTTTATTCATCAGTGACACATTAAATCGATCAAAAGTGTCAGTAAAGACATTTATAATGTAACAAAAGATTTCTATTTCAAATAAACGCTGTTCTTTTGAACTTTCTGTTCATCTGTGAATCCTGAAAAATCAAATGTGTCACTGTTTCCACAAAAATATTGTGCAGCATGACTGTTTTCAACATTGATAATAATCAGAAAAGTTTCTTGAGCAGCAAATCAGCATATTATTATGATTTCTGAAGATCATGTGACACTGAAGACTGGAGTAATGATGCTGATAATACAGCTGCGCATCACAGAAATAAATTACAGTTTAACAGATATTCACACAGAAAACAGCTGTTTTACATTGTAATAGTATTTAACTATTTTTACTGTTATTGCTGTATTTTTATCGGCTGTCTCTGTTATCTACATCCACACACTCATGACTGAGGTTTAATCATTATTACATGTGTTCAGTGTGAGTCAGACTAATGAATTCATCAGGTAATGAAGAGGCGGATCAATCAGCTGATCAAATACAGTTCAGTTTATTGGCGTGAAAATATCTCTAGATTTGTGTTACTGCAGTGTTACGAGTGAGTTTCCTCTGTTGACTGACCGCCGGAGCCGTTTCCCATTTGGGGTCACTGTAGGGGTCTGATACACACACACACGCATGCACACACACACACACACACACACACACACACACACACACACACACTTGCGGCCAGAGGCGGACAAAGTACACTCAAGTGCGTTTATACGTAAACACACTGTTTTATTATTGTTGTATGTAATACTTGCAATACCTTATGCCTCTGAAGCAACTTACAATGCATTACGCTACAGAATACACTGAGTAAAGAGCTTTTAGAATGTTAAAAACCTATGAAGAAAAAGAAAAATATATTTATACCCCTTTCCCCCCACACAAAAGCAGCATGGTAGACAAAACAAATTGACATTAAAAATGTCAAAAATGCTCTTTAATCGCTCTTGCGGTGCTTTGATGTCATACACAGAGCAGTCTGTGCAGTTCTGCTTCAAATCAAACACCTACAGTATTGTGCTTTGTTAGGAGACGCACAACAGTTCTTCTGTGGCTTCATAGCTAATATTTTCATTTACACAATTTAGCAAAATCAGACAATATTGTGTCTAATACATACCACAATATTAACTTCTTGCAACTGGTCAGTGTTTAAAAATGCTGGGAAATCACTTCACGTAACCCTACATTAGTGATTACTGATAGACTGTCTGAAAAAAATAGTCCTGTTTTAGAGGAGAAAAAAAATCACCCTCTGACTTTCAGAGCTGCTACATTGTAACGACTTTCTACTTTTTAAGACCCTTATAGAAATGTAGTGGAGTGAAAAGTACAGTATTTGTCTTTTAAATGTAGTGAAGTTAAAGTCATAAGTTTCTAGAAAAAATAATACTAAAATAATACTCAAAAAGTGCACTTAAGTACAGTAATCAAGTAAATGTACTTAGTTACTGTACTGTCCGCCTCGGCTCGCGGCCGCTCACCTTTATAGCGGTTGTACAGCTGATCCAGCTTCTTGCGGTCCACTGCTGTTTTCATGGAGTCTCTGCGGTGGAGCTCAGGGTTCTGGAAGTAGTTATCGCTAACCATCTCTAGTCTCCAGTCATTGTGGGTCAGACAGTACAGAGCGGTTCTCTCTGCGGCCCGCGTGAAGGACGAGAACTGACGGATCTTCTCCTTCTGAGACGACTTCAGTTTATGCTGGAGGAAGAGAAGAGAACAACAACAACAGCTTCAGTAACCCGTCTGCCCTGCTGTTAACCGCTAGTTACAGTAAACACGGGTAGTTAGTCAAGTCTGTCACCAGTGTGTGGAATTTCAACACGACACGACGGTCACCTTTGTGTGGAAGTTTATTTGTTACAATTTTGTTAACTCAGAATTGCAAGATATAAACTTGCAATTGTGAGACAAAAAGGTGCAATTACCTTTTATTTTTTATTCTGTGGTGGAAACAAAAAACTGAATTATGAGATGTAAACTCAGAAAAAAGTCAGAATTACATAGGAATTGCAAGGGGGGGGATCATAATTCTGAGTTTATTTCTTTACAATTTTCTCTCAGAACTGTGAGAAAACTCGCAATTACCTTTTTTAAAAAAAAAATATATTTTTTTTTATTTTTTTATAAAAAAAGCAGAATTATGAGATGTAAACTCAGAATACAGAGGAAAAAAAGTCAGAATTGCTTAAACTCGAAATTGCGAGGGAAAAAAATGCATAATTCGTTAAGTTTATTTCTTATAATTTTCTCTCAGAACTGCGAGAAAAAGTCAGAATTGTGAAATAAAAACTCGCAATTACGTTTTTTATATAAGCAGACAATTTTTCTACCCGTACAAACTTTTACTATAATAACCATTATATTTATGCCAGAATACCAGTTACTACAGTAAAATCAGCTGATTACATTCACATTAGATCTTTAAAAAGTTTCATAATTTATCTGTTTAATTATTTTTTTACGACAATGGTTATCACAGTTTACCATAGTAATAATATGTGTAGAACAGTGTGTATTTTCTAAAGGAAAACTTTGTTTACTAGGGTAAACTGACATATGAAATTATGATTATTCAAACATTAGAAAATGTTTTTAAAAATTACAACATACTGGTATACGAAGAGCCTGATTTGAACGTTAAATCAAACCTTTATCATAAAGTAGGCTACAGTAGTTGTACCAAGAATAATATCTTAGATAAATTTCAGTCTGGAAGGAACAGGACAAGGAACAGTTTATACATGGTTTGCATCTTATTTAGAACAAAGATCTTTTACAGTGAAGGTTGGTAATTGTTTCTCATATCCCGCGCATCTTACCAGTGAGGTCCCTCAAGGGTCCATTTTGGGCCCTGTTTTGTTCTCATTATATATGCTCCCACTGGGAAGGATTTTTTTAAAATATGGTATTCTTATCATCTATACGCGGATGACACGCAGATCTATTTGCCTTTATGACCTAACTGTAATGTTTCCTATGCAACACTCCACAGGTGTCTGGATGAAGTGAAAGACTGGTTGGCTGACAATCTTGTTCAGTTGAATGAACGCAAAACAGAAATTATGATTTTTGGTCGCTCAGTTTTTAACAAGGCTGAAAGTGACATACTAGACCCTTAGGCTTGTTATCTACAGGACAGAGTAAATAATTTGGGAGTCATTTTTTGATTCCCTGTTAAAATTCGGTAAACAAATAAAAACGTAGTAGTAGTAGTTCGGAATTGTTTTTTTTTTATCTGAGGGCAATAGCTAAATTAAAATCATTTCTTTCAACTAGTGACAAGGTAACAACATTGTTGTTGTTGTTGTTTTGTTTTAATTATCTTATTTATATATATATATATATATTACCTTAACAGTACAGTACAGCATTTTGTAGTTACTGTGTAAGTTAACCTGAAAAGTGCTCTACAAATAAATACAAATACCATGGTACAGTGAAGGTATCAGCTGGTAATACCATGGTATTCTAAAATATATGATAGTATTGATTACCACGTTCGTATATCATCATGATATTTACGTGGTATTACTATAGTACATGTATTGTTTTTCTGAAGGGTTAAAGAGCTCAGTATCAGTGGAGGAACTGCTTTGATTCAAACAGCCTCATCTGACTCTCCGTTTCCATTATAAACTGAGACGCTCGGAAAACAGTGCGACTCAAGCGTCTTTCTGCAGTCATTAACTGCCCCGGGGGCATTTCAGATAAACACTACTGCCCCCTGCGCACCTCCTGTTCGCTCACCTACCATCTTTATGCGCTGCTTCAGCTCCGGCGGATCTCCCTCTGCGCATGCGCGGAAATCACTCCGGGGGATGCTGGGAATTGTAGTTTTTACACCTTACAGAACTTATAATACGGCATGGATACATTAGTAAGTCGTAATTAATTACTTAATGATTTGTAATTACAAAAAAGACTGCTGTAAGTAATTATATGGCAAAATCAAACAGCTCAACCTATAAGTTTCACATATTTATAGTCATATTCTATGGAATGCATAGCCTATAATATATCACAATCCTGATTTTTTTTTTTTTAAATGGCAAGATATAAATTAAGAATTCTGAGATATAAATGCTGAATTGCAAGTATCTTTCAGTTCTGAGAAGAAAAAGTTCTGAAAATAAAAAGCATGAATTGTGAAAAAAAAGTCAGAATTGTGTGACAAAGTGTCGCGACTCGCAATATAATTTTTAAAAAATATATTTTTTATAATCTTTTTTATAGTCTGAAATGGACAGAAAAAAAGTCAGAATTGTGAGACAAAGTGTCGACTTTTTATCTCACAGTTCGTGCTTTTTTCTTGCAATTCCCTAAGTTCATATCTCACCATTTGGACTTGCATGAAATAAACTTACAATGCTAAGAAAAAAGTCTGAATTGTGAAATATAAATTCTGATATTTTTTCTGTTTTTTTTCTCAGCAAGGAATAAAAAACTAAAAAGTTAACTGCACGACATTTTTGTCACAGATTCTGAGTTTGTATCTCGGAATTCTGCATTTATATGTCGCAATTGTTTTTTTGTTTCCACCAAGGAATTCTGACT